AACTTACGCGCGAATTTCAAATTTGTTCGTTTGTTGTATAGAAACGAAGCACAGAATGCACACTTTTTGCTATATACGATATTGACTGATGTATATAGAATAAAACTAAACTGTCAGGCGTACCAAATATATTTTTGACGCCGAGTGGTGTACGTAAAATTCCAAAATCCCCAAATGGGGGTCGTGACAGCTAATGGGTTAATGAATGCTAACAAAAATTTGTGAATCACCCTGTATATGTAACTTGGTTCCCTCGATGACTCATAGTGTAATGAAATGATGAGTTCAGAAAAGAACTTGGAAATTTTCTTTTCCCTATTCTATTTTATTCTATTTTCTTTTCGTATTCTTCTCACAGTAAATTATAAGAGATAATTATTGAAATTATTAACTGACAGATATGATATTTGTTATTATTGGCATATTTGACGTTTTATTTAAATTTCCCTCTCACTGTACTTAGAAAGGAGTAAGGTAGTTGTTGGTATTGAGATCTATGTCAGAGGCAATGAAAGACATTTATTAACTGACAGATATGATATTTGTTATTATTGACATATTTGACGTTTTATTTAAATTTCCCTCGCACTGTACTTAGAAAGGAGTAAGGTAGTTGTTGGTATTGAGATCTATGTCAGAGGCAATGAAAGAGAAATTAATTGACAGTTTGGACTGGTGAGGAATTGTTTTGTTATTATATTGAGGATATAAGAGGGTATACTTTATTTACTATAGTTCGTTGCACCTTTTCATAGGCGATATTACGAGTGAAAATTTTGAAAATATAAGTTACTCATGATTTCGAAATTCTTAAAGGTAATGAAACGACACTTGTCAATTAACCCTTTGCACTCGAGAGGTGAGTTTCAGTCACCGTTTCATAAAATTTGGAAGATCGATATTAATTGATATATCAAATATAATGTAAAGGTATCGAAATCAAATAATTCTACAATTCTGTTATTATACAATTCTTTATTTACTGTTCAAAAAGGTATCGTCAGTGTTTTAGTAGACAATTTTTTAATTTCTACTCTTATTTAGCCAAAAAATTATCGAGTGCAAAGGGTTAATAAGATGATTATTAACTCACGTTATAGGACCTTTTAATTATTTACTTAAACACTTGCTATTATTTACTTCTTCGTCATTATGAACGTGACTGTGCTGCCTGCTATCTGTAGTGCTATACTAGTGGACTCCTCGATATGTGTCATCATGCTGCTGACTATATACGTTAAGTTATAAATTACATAGTCAGTCTGAATTGTTTAACCCTGTAAACATCTAGCATAAATGCTACATATCACCCACTATGGATGCAGCTATGCACTACTATCTATAAGTGTCGGGACACTTTGGTCGATTCGCAGCAACGTCACATAGACAGTACCGTCGTGTATAAACTACCAATGAATTATCGAATCAACGTATATCTTGAACTAAAAATTTTACATTCGAAAATTTTTGCCACCGTGTATAATAACTAAATTCGATTCAGTTATGGGACTCTAAGTTTCTATGTATTGCAACACGATAGTCGTGTGGTTAGTTAATCGTGGAAAAGTTATCGGGTCTAAGAAAAAATGATGTAATCTAAAGATAAATTATATTTTAAATAACTTACGTCAATTTTATCATTACATGTTAGTTTTTGAAGCTGAATAACGAGCTGCAATATTAATAGAGAATAAACCTCGCGACAGATCTTTTTTATTTATAATTTTATAATTAAATTACATCCTGTCAGTGATAAGCGAGTGTTCGTAATGACGTAGAGAGAAAAGAGAGAGAGAGTGAATGGGGGAAACAGCAAGAGTATATAGGTTTCCGGTTATTAAGTAGTTCTCAGTAAAGTAGTAAAAGGTAGAAGGTTTATAGGCACGAAACTGTTACAAATGTAGAGTTAAATCTAGGTTTAGGTTAGATGCTTCTATTTCGGTGTCTTTTTAAATCCCCAGTGGTTATCTAGGCTAGTCAAACTCGAAAAAGCATTCCCAGTCGCGTTATCCAATATTTGCCATTTATTGTCACTTCGGTAGGATACTTTTTAGGTTAGGTGCAACGTAATATATTTCTCCCGTGAAGAAATCGACGTCTCCGCAATTCTCAATCTCTCAACCGTTCCAAACTTTTGAAAACTCTGATGAGATCCTGATACTGTCGAGTAATCTTCGAACTTCGATCTCGATAATCACTGAATCTATCAGACCGTAGGCTACGTTCATCCATATTTAAAAACGTGCAACTCTGTTTGAAAGGACTAGAGTCCTCAAGGTCTTTTTAACATTCTCACAGAGAAAAATACAAAGAAGGCTAGATAGGATAAACACCCAGACCTAACCTAAATCTCGAAAAACCTCGTGTTCTGAATAGTTCGATGCTAGGTACCAATTAGCCAGTTAGTTCTTCGAAATACTTCAGCCTCGTTTATTAGAATCATTCGATGCAGCTGATATTCGGGTCGACTAAGTATAGAAAACATGTACAAGCTGATATCTGCATATGATGAATATAGCTCGCTTTATCTGTCTCGGTCTCTGCATCAGTCCCAATACAGTCACTACCGAAACGATCAGCAACTGGAACCAACCCGACCTAGTTCCAGATTTCGAATTCTTTCGCGAAAAACGACGTTTTTGAATTTTCACGGCGGAATCCTGTCACGAGGGGTGTGGAAAAAGCGAACGAGGAAGGACGGAACTGAAATCGGTGAAACGAGCAGACAGCGTGCAACAGCGTGACGCGAGTGACTCGATAAATAACGAAACGCAAGCATCGGTGTCCCATTTGCGGGGAAACGAAGCGTTCTCACGCGCGGTTCGCGTTTTTCCATTGCGCAACGATCATAAAGGCAATTACAAGGCCTCGGATACACGCTCGCGATCCTCGAGGTACGAAAAACCGACATAGGCCATAACGGATTCGACGATATTGAATTTATCACCGGCGTGTCTTCTTACATAATTCAACGCTGATGATTCCCCGTGCCGTGTACGCGCAACCGGCCCGTGATAATTATAACATGGTGACCATGGGCCCGATATCGCTCTACTACGCACTCTGCTCAGCCAGCTCCATTGTGCGATAAAAACGCGCCTTCTGTTGATCTCGCGGCTCGATTCCGTGGAACGAGTATTCTCTTGTCACCACGCTTGTCAGGCATCGTTTCGCGCGGAAGAAGGATTATTTATAAAGGCCATTTTTGGGTATACACCTAGAGTCCTTTGGAAGACACTTTTGCAATAACTCGTCGTCGAAGGGTGAGACAGATGAAGTGCCAGGAGCTGTTTTCTTAGGTGTCACTGTACATTCGAAGTTTCTTAATGCTTGAATTATTGAATTAGTCAAAAAGGCTGTTTTCAGACAAATTATTCAGATGAAAATTTAGGTATATATTATAGACAGAGATTTCATTTTAATTTTAAGAAGGGTGAGATAGATAAAGTGCCAAGAGGTATCTTAGGTGTCTCTGTGGATTGGAAGTTGCTTAATGTTTGAACTATCGAATTAGTCAAAATGGCTGTTTTCAGGCAGATTATTCAGATGAAAATTTAGGTATATATTATAGACAGAGATTTCATTTTAATTTTAAGGAGGATGAGACAGATGAAGTGCCAAGAGGTATTTTCTTAGGTGTCTTCGTGTATTTGAAGTTTCTTAATGCTTGAACTATCGAATTAGTCAAAATGGCTGTTTTCAGGCAGATTATTCAGATAAAAATTTAGGTGTATATTACAGATAGAGATTTCATTTTAATTTTAGGTCTTCTGGAAAGACGGAGATGGTTTGTTTGATTTTCTGTAAGAGAAATGGCGCGTCAACTTCGTTTTGTCATTTAGACAGCTGTTAACGAGTTTAATAACATTGATTTAAAATGTTTTTTTTTTATTTTTTCATTCCGTGTGGTAGAAGTACGACGAAGTAAAACATTTTCTGGGATAAGTGTGGCTTTTTACTAAATATTTATTTACTCGTTGAACGATGTTATTACAGACATGTAATAACATCGTTGGAGTTATCGATTCACGAGCGACCGATTTACCGCTATCATAGATACTAAGCATATTCATTTGTATTTACATGTTCCAGTCTTTTTATGAATTTAATGAATATTTAAAAGTTCGATAACACCTTCCCGAGAAGCTAATGGAATTTATCTTGTCTTTTCCCAAAGGAATATAAAATAGCCAAAAATATAAGGGAACAAAATTCGAAATTTTGTCACCAAATCCATATTTATATATTTATCTAGTTTTGAATATATTTTTTGAAAGCATTTTTTCCAAATTCATTAAAGTGCAAATGGAGCTCCTGGTATATATAATTCTTCGAATCCTGCATTTTAAAGTTAAGCATTTTCTCCAATTTCATTCAAGTGCGAATGAAACACCCGGTATATGTAATTCTTCGAATCCTGCATTTTAAAGTTAAGCATTTTTTCCAGTTTCATTTAAGTGCGAATGAAACACCTGGTATATGTAATTTTTCGAATCCTGGATTTTAAATTTAAGCATTTTCTCCAACTTCATTTAAGTGCGAATAAAACACCCGGTATATGTAATTCTTCGAATGGTGTATGTGTAACGTTTATGAGAAAAGAGCGTGCAAAAAGTTAATGTTAGTCGAAAATCATCACGGCCATATAGCACGTTTTATTATTATTGCTACGATCAGTGCAAAGTGTACCTTCTTTAAACGCTGCCTCATCGTCGCAAGCTTCCTTCAGTCCCATACGACCCGGTTTATCTCCCTCCAATATCACCAGATAATACCATACAGACTGTACCAACATCCGCCTCGTTTGCATCATCTAATGGCTCCTTGGCAATTTCTCCGAACACAAACATGTCGCCTTCTTTTCCTCTAATCTCTAACCCAGAATTTCACCAAGCAGACGTCCCAGAATCCCCCTAGCCGTCCACTGCAACACGCTCCGCAATCGGCCCCGCATGGTGCACGAATATTTTATCGGGAACGTCGATTCGTTCGGATTGCAGGCGCTGAAGAGCAAGAAGGTCAGGATGCTGAGCAGCTTGGCAAACTACTTACTTGGAGGTAATATCTCCGGCGCACAAGATTCACGGGAAGGGTCCAATAACGAAACCCCGGAGTCCCTTCCAGTAATGGCGAGGCTCAGTCAGATGGAGGTTGAGGGCGATGACTGGATCCTCATTGACCGTACTGGTACGTCTGGCCGAGATGAACGGCCTTTTCAAAGGGACCATGCTCTCGAGAAATTCGAAAGCCCAAGGAATACACACGCTCCCACACGTACACACTCTTTGCAGTCCGACTGCTTCTCACACGGAGAGGCGCCCGCTTCTGTCCCCTTGGGGTGTAAAATGAGACGCGTCTTTAGGCTATGGAACGATGAATAACGCGATTACTCTTATGGTGGAAAATAACCAAGCCCTTTTTGGCCGATTGTTTTCTCGCTGGAGTTGACAGCGTTCCGGGTAGCTTTTAAGACCCGTAGTTTTGCATCCTGTTCGAATTAGGGGGAATTAGGGGAGAAGGATTCGGGGTACGTTGCCTAACTTTTCCACTTGAAACGTTCCAACCATATTTTCAATTTCATCCGAATATTTCCTGTGAAAATTACATAATCTTGATATACTGGTGATAATTTACTTTCTTGAAACGTGGGCCTCTATTTTTTTTTTTTTTTTTGCAGATGGTCGATAATTGTTTTAAATAGTTTTGTGATTTTTAAGGTTATGTAAGGTCTTGAAGAAATCGAATTTAACCCTTTGTACTCCAGAGACGTCTTTCAGTCGCCATTTGTAATTTAAAATTTCGAAGCTCGATATTAATTAATATATCAAATTTAAGATAACGTAATTATGTGTAAGATATCGAAATTAAATAATTCTACGTGTTAATTATTACACGATTTCTTATTTACTGCTCAAAAAGTATCATCTGCTTTATAGCAGAAAATTTTTGAATTTTTACTCATCTTTAACCAAAAAATCGTCGAGTGCAGAGGGTTAAAAATTTTATTGTTATGAAAATGTATAATTGTATTCGAAGGACTTGCTATTCTAATTGTTATAGTTAGGTGAAATTATATTCTTTAATTTCTGACCTTCTAGAATTTTTTATTTGTTTATCAATATAATTAGAGTGATACGGATCTTTTTATTTCTGTTTCAAAATTCAAGAGAGATATTCAAATTGCTTGTTGCTAACTACAATAGGTTTTAAATGTTGCCTCGTCATCGGTCAAGTAACGTGTTGCATTATACCAGGAGATAGTATTATTTGTTGGTGACTTTGAAGATGTCCTTAAATACATAATTAAAATGACCACCTACAATGCACTGACGAAGATCATTGTATCTCATTAATTGTTACAATAGAGTAAAATTATTGTCACTCTATGCCTATGTAATTTTCGAACGAAATACTTTCATGAAATTTCAAACATAGTGGAAATATTTCAGGTGATACATTTAGACGAAATAACCTGTATAATTTTGTGAAAATCCGCCTTTATTAATTCGCGACGCAGTTAAAATTACATACTTTTTGGATAAAAATAATTTCAGAGGGCTTTTTAGAGAAATTTTTAAGAAATTATTACCTATAGTAACTATAGTATAAATTATTATACTATTATGCAAATTTTTCGCGAAATTAGTATCGATTTTTGGAAATTAATGCAAAATCTAACATTGACGAACCATTTCAATCTGCACCAAGTATTTTAGCGAGATCTTCTGGTAGAATAATTAGGACTCTTTACAATATAGATATAGTCTCTATTAGTCATTCAATTTTCTCATTTAATATCCCTAACATTGCTAAAATTTCCGAACGATATTGCTAATATTTATAGTATATAGCTCCTCTCGAATTTAACCAGTGTTTGAACTTCCTTATTCTCAAAGTGGAACTGAATCCAAGATAACATTTGTGCATAGCGTTCAGAAATTATATTGCTGTCGAATCGTAAATTTTTCCTTGCGAAGAAAATAGTACTTATGAGAACTTTCCACGAGAAAGTCTGTAGTGATCCAATACAAAATTTTCACAGTTGATTAATGTAGCCTTGAAACTTCGCTATAGTGTTGCCTACGAGCATATCTCTTATGAGGATTCACTCCAGTCTGCTTGTCGTCATAAATAGAAGACAATCTAGAAAGAGACTAACGAATCAAATATAACTTACAAGTTTCTTGTCATACTTTTCACCCTTCATGTCCCTAACACGAAGATAACGCAAGATAAAAATAATAATGCAAAGAAATGATACCTTTATTAACAGCAGGACGTGGGAACTTCATCGTTCCTAAGATTAGATAAGACCCCCTAGTCGTTTTCATGACATATGATTTTCTGCATCTTAGTCATTTATCAATTACTTATTTATATACGTATTAAGTATTACTGATAAATATTGTTTTGTCGAATCATGGTCACTATTAATTACAAATTAACTATTTTTATAGCAAAATGTTAGATATACTATAGAAATATTAAAATAATTAATTTGTTTTACTTAAAATTCCATACATAGTAAATTAATGTCAAATTCTAAGGAATTAATAGTTTTTATTAATTATATAGGAAGTTCATTTTAACAAAATAATTTTTCTTTTTACTGATGCTTATGCTAGTTATTCGATGAGAAGAATTTTGTAGTATCTGAGATAAAAACATCAGTGAACAATGAGAGTGACAATGCAGGGCATAAAGGGTTGAAACAAAAGACGACATGCGGGCACAAAGCTCATTTCAAGGTGTGTGCATAATTACACACAAGGTTTTCGAATATACACAGGTAATTCGGACACGATATACACTACAGCACAAAAGTTTCTGATCATAGCTTACGACGGGAAACAGAATATAAAATAACGTTAATTCACGGTTTCCAGTTTGTAATTATTCGCCAGAGATCTTCATTATACACAAATCCCTGTCTTTGCAAACAGTATTGTTTTATGTTCATTTAATTTATCAAGTGACTGAAATTCGAATAACTTAATTAATAACCATAGTCTAAAGTAGTATACATGAATTGATCAATTGGGAACATCAATTTCTTCCTTTTTCTCTATACATTGATCATTTATAATCCAAAGAATATATTTCCAAAATATTTTGATTAAATTTTGAGGAATAATGGAGTTACAAATCCTAAACAAACTTAAAGATTTAGTTCCCGGAATGTTCATACAGATGTCACTCGTGCTGCCTTTCCCATTGCTAGACCGTTTCCTTTGCTAAACATAACCTCGTTCCCAGTTTTCATCAGAATATATTCCATTATCGAAGTACCATTGGAATACAAAATTTATTATTCCATATTTCTTAAAATTGAAGATTTCTTACTGTGTATGTGCTGAACCTTAATCCTTTTGCTATTACGGGTGATTATAGTCACCGGTCACGAGACGCCATCTATACACGACGAGTGACTATAGTCACCAGCCACAAAAATTGGTAAAAAATTAAGACAAGTGCTCCCGTTCCTCTTAGCTCTCTTCTCAAAGAATTGCAAACTCTATTGCGATGTTCAGCTTTCCCTTTTCCTTTTTTCTTCAAAAGATTTGCGTCAAAAGACCGAATGCTAAAGACTGCACGATCGTAATGCTACCATCTTTGACACGTCGCTACGTTCTAGAGGAGAGACTTCGCGACGAGGTGACTTACGACCAATAAGGATTAACTCTTTGTGAACAGAGCGGTTTTGATTAACCACTTGCGCTGGCAAGACGTGCCACGCACGTCGTAATGCTTTTGTCACAGAATCGCCAACGACGTGGTATACACGTCGTTAGGCAATTGTTACAGAAACACTGAACCGTTCTGGCACACGCGTCTGTGAATTTCTTGCCATCACAAGTGGTTAAACCGTACTGTGGGGCCGAGCTGCTGTCGTGATAGTCATTCAAAACTACCAGCGCTCATTTCTTCGTGTTAAACGCGATTTTTCTTCATAGCGACACTGACAATACGACATAAAACAGTCCACCACTTAGCTTGGGACGCGAGGGTCCTAGGGAGCGCTACAGCGGGCGCATATTTGTGTTTCTCAACCATAGCAACGCGTTTACGTAGGATACATTCGTGCATCCCTCGGCCCTATCGGTTATTTTCGTCAAATATCACATATACGCGTTCCTGGGCCAAACTGATGGCTTCCATAAAGCGCATATATGTGACGCTCGTCTACAAAAGGTTAACACATTGCGTACCGCTCACGAGTGCTCTCACGTTTCGCGTGCCATCTGTTATGGACCTTAGATGCGGTCCCTGTTTTAGAGATTTCTATGCGGTACGCAATGTGTTAAAAACGCGAACACGGACGTCTACTCAAGCGAAACATGTTTCGAAACCCCTTAGTTGAGGGCACAACGGCGCTGGAGGAGTCGTGGTATGTAACGCCACCCGCATGTTTCACACGGGCGGGTCCCGTGAACGTAGAAACATCACCGCTAGAGGACCTGCTGATAGAGCATCCCAGCATGTCCGTTTACCGAGCCACAGCGTCTCCAGTCGCCCCTGAAACTCCACCGCCGACGCCGGACGCGCCGGAAGAGTGGGACGTCGAGGAGGACGTTCCCCCTAGCGTGGTTTCCGGCGCAACAGCCGCGATAGCAGCAGCAGCTTCGCCGGAACGTAGTCCTAGAAGAAGCGTGGAAGAGCAACCAGCAATCCGTAGACCAGCCTTGCACGATGGGAGACCTGTCGTACAGCTTTGCCGGAACGTAGTCCTAGAAGAAGCGTGGAAGAGCAACCAGCAATCCGTAGACCAGCCTTGCACGATGGGAGACCTGTCGTCGAACGTGTCCGTACCGAGAAGAGGATAGTTCAGCTTCGAGCGGCGCAGAAGGTGAATGATTCTTCTTCTCCTGACTGGTATACTTCAGTTACCTATATAAGTTACAGAGGGTGTAGGCTAGGTTTCTACGATCAGATTTTCTCAGTATGTTCTATGACTATAAATGAAAGCTTATTAACCCTTTACACTCGAGAGGCGCTTTTTAGTTGCCGTTCAATCAGATTCTAAAGATCATTATTAACATTAGAACTACCGATCTTTAATGGGTACCTAACTGTAACGTGCACAGATTATAGTCATTTCAGCGGTACGATAAACATGAGTGAATTATATTGATTACAATTCTTTCTTAGTATGAGTTGATACCAATTTTATTCTTAAAGCAGGTGTATGTGTTCGATGATTGCGAAAAGGAAAATTCTGGGACCAGTCATTCTGACGATTCACGCACGTTTTCTGTGTCAACTGATGAAGGCCATGTCTTCTTCCAACAAGTGTTATAGAATGCCGTGTTGTATGAGGGTTCCCGCAATTTATGAATCGCGTAATAGTGAAACCGTGTTGTAGGAGGGTTCCCGCACTTTATGAATCACGTGTTATAGAATGCCGTGTTGTAGGAGGGTTCCCGCAATTTTTGAATCGTGTTGTAGGAGGGTTCGCGCAATTTATGAATCGCGTAATAGTGAAACCGTGTTGTAGGAGGGTTCCCGCACTTTATGAATCGTGTAATAGTGAAACCGTGTTGTAGGAAGGTTCCCGCAATTTATGAATCGTGTAATAGGATGTCGTGTTGTAGGAGGGTTCCTGCAATTTATGAATCGTGTAATAGTGAAACCGTGTTGTAGGAGGGCTACCTGTACGTCAAAAGTGGACTGATACGAAGTGATACGGAGAATCGATGACTCGGTCGGTTAATTGGAACGAAATCAAAATGGACTTCGTATCGTAATTAATTTTATTTTTGACCGTTGTCAGCTTTGTGTTCAATAGAACGATGGACATTTCGTAATGAGGTACTACCTGGTGATCACGTTGATCATTCATTTATTCTTGCCTCTTATAATCCGTATAGGTCTGCTACCATTCCCTTCGCATTTTGCACTTTTCCTACATGGTTTTAATAAAGTTAATGTAGCTTCTTTCTTATTTATACTCATAGAACATATAGACAAAGTTTTGGCCGAGAAACTGGGACATACTATAGATACGTGCTGGGGACATTAACCCGTTGGCGTATGATTAAATTAAAGGAAATTTAACACGTATAAACTTCTTATGGCAATTATCTCAATCTATTGGCTTTCGTGATTTCTATTTGGAGATAAAAAAGAACAAATTCTATCAGTCTTATAGAACTGAATAAAATCGAAATATTTATAAAATTGTATATAAATTTTAAAAAGAAGATGTTGACAGAAAATAGGATGTTTCATAATTCTAAGAAAATTATAATTGATCAAAATTTTTTAAGTCTGAAACTAAAATAAATAAAATTGGTTATTAAATCGGATAACGATAACAGGGGTAACACGTTGGCAGAAAATAGGATGTTTCATAATTGAAAATTATAATTGGTCAGAATTTTCTACCTAAGTCTGAAAGTGAGATAGATAAAATGGGTTGTTAAATCGGATAACGATAACACAATAATAAATGATTTTGTAAACATTGCAAATATTGCGTCACATAGCAATGAGGTTATATCGACAAATTGACGTTCCGCGTTTATATTTGCTTAAACATATATTTATATCTATATTTGCATTTACATATACACACGCACTCGATATTCGAGCTAATTTATAATTTCGCTAAAAGCTCCGTCCAAGTGCTTCTTTCCAAGTATAATTCCCTATCGAGCGAAAATTTGAAATTCAGATTCCAAAGTAGGCAGCCTACTTCGTGCACAGAGCGCTCGTTTCCGAAAGTGAACTTTCGAGTGTCAAGATTACTGTCAACATTATCAGTTAATAATTACTTAAGCAAAGTGCTTGCCAATGCAGCATACCAGAGGTAACAGGCTGCCTGAATGAATGGCCAAACATTTCGCGCGTGTAGGTATTTTCGAAGTTTAAATACCGAGCCTGAGTTCCGTCACTTGCCTACCCCAAAAGATCAATCTTTCAGGCGGTAGCAGGTTTTAAGAGATAATCATTGCTGAATGTGAATGAAATTACGTGCAGGTTCTCGAGAAGAGGTCTACCCAAGCGCTGAAGAGAGGTCGTCTGGAGAGGAGTAACAAGCTGAGGGAGGTGTTCAGTGTAAAAGGCAAGCGGCCACGTCGCCAGGACCGCTTGCGTATTCAGAACAGTGGCGCAAACAACAACCGGAAATGCTAGTCATTCGATCTCAGGCCAAGGTGTACTCAAATACCTTCTTCCTAAACGCGAACGGGCGACGCGACACGCATATACAGAAGTCACATGCATAAATCTGAAAACTGGGAAAAAAGAGAAAAAAAGAAGGAAGGGAAGAATGGAAGCCGCCAAGGAGAAAATGAGGAAGAAACGACGAGGAGATAATGTGGTTCACTCTAAAACCCCTATCGCGTTCTAGTTCGTTGGCACGTAATCACACGCATAAAGCAACAAACTGTTATGGGTGTCCTCTTTCATCGCGTTTTATTAGTTGAGCCGCTTCTTCGCGTACAAAACGCTCGAAGAATTTTCTCTCCGATTTGTACCAAGGGGAAAAGAAAAGAACAAACGACGATGTCTCTTCAAGCTCGACACGAATTTTGCCGATGAAGAGGAAAATGCATTGTCCGAAGTGGTAGGAGGAAATACAGGAAGAAAGTATGAGAAACGTAGCCAATTGGTCCGTGGTGAGAGTCCCGTGTAGAATATCTCGTGTATAATGGCGCGTGTATGGTACTCAGTTGGATCGTGTGTATACTTTTTAGCCTCCATTTAGTATGGGCAAATGTGTTTCTATTCGTACGTTTAACGTTAGTTTTTATTTAAGTTGTTCACCCAATACCCGCACCTGTGTAGCGGCCAGGAGCGTAACATTTAGCGTAATAATCCGTCACGATGATTGTTTCCACCCCAGGAACGCGCGGACGAGCCGCCATTATGCTTTTACGGATCTGTCCACGCTTAGTTTGCGCAACAATCGATTCATACTGACCGGACTTAAGGCCAGAAACTCACTTCGGGACCATGCCTTCTAGGTTCGCGTTGCGATTCAATTCACGCTAGACTTTACGTAAACATAGATGGGCTGTTAGAACGATGACGAAGTGGAGAAAGCCACGAACGCGTATAGGTCATGTGCGAGCTTTCAGATGGCTCTAAAATAAAAGCTGATAGTCGTAGAACGTCCATTGATATACGTTTACTTGGTCTCCACGTGGCGTCTTCTTCTCTTGTAAGCGCAAGTGTCATGGCGTACCCTCTAAGCAATAAAACGCTATCAATCAGAGACTGTTGATATAACGGCTATCGATGAACGTTCGAAAATAAATGTATTTATTTAGCGGCACACATGGTATGGTACTATCAATTGAATATCGATTAAACTATTAAACGTAATGTTAGGTAATGCGAAGACGAGGATGACACGCGTGTTCTTTGTGAACGAAGCGATAGAAAGCAAAAGCAAATAGCGAAAATCCCTGTTTCCTCTCCCTTGTCGCCTTAACGAGGACTATCAAAGCCATGTCGCGAATTATTGGCCTGCCGTCTGCGTAAATGAACCCATGCCGACGGGTGGAGGTGGTCCGTGGTTGATTCGTAGAGGGAGAGGGGGCTGTAAACAAGATTCCAGCTGGAGAATCGGTTTCTATATACCTGATGCGCGTTGTAGCGCGTCGACGTTTCAAAGTATTCGCTTTTTCGAGGATGAGTGAAAGGATTGGAAGAAGATGTTAGTGCAAGCTGCCCTGGTCATACCGAGGCGGGGATTTCATTCACACACTCGATTGGTTGACCACGACGCAGTGTGATTTGTGCGACACTCGAGCCTCACTCCTTGAGAATACTTGTACTTGGACGACTGATAACCCCAGAAGGATTTTAACCAAAAATTCAGGACTCCTAAGGGTGCTCAGAGTGGACTGTTGTCTGGTGTTCTCTGGTAATTTTGAAAGAAACCCAAGAAATCCTAAGCTGTTATTTGGTATCAGGCTGGGTTAAAAGTGGCAGAGTATGACTGTCTGCTTAAAAATGACAGAGTCTGGTTTCAATCGTGCTACGCGATGTTGCAAAGAAGAAATCAGAGTTCTGGTACAAGTGTCCTTACGGTCGGGATGGTGAAGTAGCTCAAGAAGAGATTGGTGTCGCCCGAATTGGACTTTTTATAAACTCAGACCCATGTCTTTGTAGACGCCAAGAAACATGTTCGTCAAGCGACGCGAAATTGTGCAATACCGAGCCCCATCGTGACGAATAATTCCCCTCAGATGATTTCTTCTATGAAGAAAACGGCGACGCCATATTCAATTCGACAGCAATCTCTTTGGGAGAAGAAATCAGTTCAGACGCACTGCTGGTGCTAGGTCAGGACAGCTACAGCCTGATGCGTTTTTTCAAGAGTTGCTTCACCAGGGCCACTGAAGCTGGATATCGTCCAAAAACTAGTATCAATAGACACGTCCAATCAAACTATTGGATGATAGTTAACATACAGTTGTAATTCAAACTGAATTTGACCTCGGACGACCCTCTCCTCCGCAAGGAGAATAGCTAATCGTGTTTCAAGCAGGAAACTTTCCTCCTCTGTGATTTTAGATTCGCGAATTTTTCTAAAAAAGAAAAGAAAAAAAAAGACAAAAGTATAGAGAACGTAATAAAATGTGGAAGGAACCTTCGTTATTCTCGATCCTTCTCGAAATTTTCGACCCGGGGCGCTGTAGGCGCCACCTGGCTAGCTCCGATAGTACTTAACGATCCACGTGACCCGGAATAACCTAGGTTCCCCTATACGATCTTCGTTTAACTGACTTTTTGGCATTATGCAAGAAGAAATCGACGAGAGGACCGCACAGGAATCGTTAAATCAGTCCGTTTTTAAATAACACTTCTGTAAATAAGAAAACGAGTGTCGTAAATGATAAAAGGGCTACGTTCCCATCGGATGCCGAGTTTGCCAAGCCGCACAAACTATAGTCCGAAGGATGAGAGATTGTTAGGGGTGTTCCTTGCTCTTGTAACGCGCGGTTAATTCATGTGTACACGTATTGTATAACGTTTACCTTTCTCTCGTAAGGAGCAGTGTTCATCCTGAACTTATTATTGCTGTGTAATAATTATATTAGAGATGAAAAAATGACAAAAAAAGAACAAAAAGATTGAAGAAAATTGAGGAGGACAATGAAACAAGGTGATGTAGCGTTTGTATGACGCGACTTGAGTCGACACATTGTGATCCGGATCTTTCGTTCCGTATTGTTTGAATCTTTCGTTGTAAAATGATCGACTTGTATTATTTGAATGTATGCTCGTACACCTTGACCCTATAACGATGATTAATAAAATATTTTATGTCACTAACTGCCTGATGACATCGGAATCACAGTTCTCTGATAACGAATCATGAAAACGAACACTTTTACTATCTTTTAAGAAAACTGCCAGATCAAATCGATGATACGAAGATCCAAAATTGGAAAAGGCTAATCGACTGAAGACTAGCGAAATTAAAAAAGGATCAAGAATCATAGGAAAATGAAAACGACACGTACCATTTTTATAAAAATTAGCAGTATATTTTATTATATTTCTAATTAAGTAGAACTTTCCATTCGTTGAAAATTAGCCACGTTATTTTCTAGGGAATTCTGATATTTCAGTTTCGTTCATCGACTAGTTCCACGAGTATTTTTATAATTTCTTTGTAAGACTACTTTTCGTTCCACAAAATAATCCCTACTTTCCTTCGTTAGGATACTATAGTATACTCTTCTCTCCTCTGACCCCCAAATACCTCCAAATACGCCTGATCTCTCATAAAAAAAAGTTCATCCAAGATAATGGACCAAAATTTCTGCCCCAAAAGGGGGCAGAATTTTCCAAAAAGTTCACCGATTAATTGAAATTCGAGATAAGAGAGAACACCAATCGTCATCGATGCTTAATTGGTCAGGTAACCGCTCAGTTCCTCGTCAGATCGCTTGAAATCGACTAGGTAGCTGCAGCTGTGCACGGAATGGGGCGTTCTTTCTTTCGGGCTCAAAATCGAGCGCAAAGTGCCATCGCAATTCAGGTTCAAGGACATCTCCCTCCTGAGCTCCATGCATCGACCGACCTCGTAGTCCATATCGATCTCCTTGCCGGTTCGATTTTTGGTGAACAACAGCTCCAGGCTGTAAATAACGCTGACCAGCTCCTCCTCTAGCTGGGGATCGCAGGAAAAGGAGACCATACCCGGATCGCAACCGGGAGCGCCTGTTGAATCCATGAATAATTATGCGTTATTGCATCGTGTTTTGAATCGATAATTCACCGAGCGTTGGAGGCGCTCGAGGTCCTCATTTTTATATTTTTAATTAAAGAGTGGCGGCGAAGTGGGGCCTACTTAAACAAGTTTCTTGGGGGACCCTAGACAAAGGATCCTCGAGTATTACGATCTTGGATATTGTAACTAATTGCGAGTATTTAGGTATTACAAGTATCTACGATATTTAATAAGTATTATAATAAAATAGATATTACAGTGAATAGTTAATGATAATTAACAGCAACCAATTTGTGCCAATGTTTTAAATAATTTGTAATCACATCTGTGTTACCTAATGTCATTTTTAGTAATGACACGTGAACTGGATTAACTGGGATGGGCGTGTATCGATCATGCGAGCTACTTTTACGTGTTATGGTTTCTCCAAGGATTCTTTGATTATTAACGCATTCACTTCTTCGACTATCCTTAGAATTTTGTTTCGTAAATAAATGTGTAACCACGTAGCTATAATTGTCGTAGTCAAGTATGATTATAATTTTGAATTGTTAAAAATTTCGAATTCTCGCGAAGGTATGGCAATTTTGTATTTATTGTACAGGGTGTTTCAAAATCCACGCAAGATTTGAATTTCGCGCCATTTGAGTGGTAAAGTGTTGCCAACGAAAAGAAAATGGCAACTGAGAGTTGACAGTTCAGGGTTGTTAAAAATGGAGCGCTGCACGAAGGAACAACGCGTCTTCGTTGGTAATATTTACAATTTTTAGTTGAAGGCGTGTGTTTCCTGTCAAAATTACTTCCTGCGTGAATTTTGGGGCACCCATTATATAACCTTGGGTATCCTGCACCGTCTCCCAGCGAACTAGCGCCTCTTGCAAAGGTTTGTATAGCTGTCGTCGGTTAGGACAGCACCAGTTGGCCACTTTAGCATCCAATTGCACTCTGTCTTCGATGCCTAGCTGGCTCCAACTTAGGAACAGCTGCTTCAGTCGCGGCACTGTCATAGAACCCCATCATAAATACGCATCTATGACCAGTTTACACTCATCAGTGATCGACGTAGAATCGGTGTAATTAATAGTCGATATCGAAGAATTCGAAATCAGTGATGGAAAATGAATTACTATGTCACAGATCTCCATTTATTCGCGTAACAGAGCATCCAAAATATTTCAATTTATTGATATCATTCTAAATTCTTAGACCTACGTTTCCTTAATTATTCCTGGATACTGTACTTTCATGTTTCCAAAATTTCCAATAATATAAAATCTAAAGTGTTTTTAGATTTTAATTAATATATATATTATGATACATACTAACAAATAATTTTTATACAAAATTACTATCTGCTATTTGATTATTTATAAAGGAATTTGATATTTTAACCCACTGTGTGCCATAATTTCCATTTGATAATTGAAAAAGAAATTTATATAAATTTCTATAGTAAGGATTTCCAAATAGGCATTTCTCACTCATTAAAAAAATATTTTGAAAATAAATTTTTATCAATTATTATGTTTGAGATCATTGGTGATCACAATAAGTTAGGTTAGGTTATTTAATTTTACAAACTAACCTAAAAGACTAGAGATTATAAAAATTTCAAAAGGAAATTAGCAATTAGTATACTTTTCTATCCCCCTTCTAAGTCAATATTATTTATATATATATATATACTACCATAAAATTTGTGTTAAGATAATTGGGACCCAATGAAATTTCCAAAAATTACATTTCCACTATCCCTCAAGCAATATCATTGGATCACAAATGAACTCAAAGGTTTAAGTTAGGTTACCTAATTTCATTCAAAACTGCAAATCAACTTAAATCCATAGAATTGCATAAAAATTTCCAAAAAAGAAAATTAACAATTAATATACTTTATCTTACGTTTAAATCAACATAATTCATGCATATCATGATGTAATTCGTGTATGAGAAAAAAATAGGTTCAAAATCGAAGACGATATTGATTTGCCAGGATTTGAAATTTCATTTAAAATTTGATTCTTTTCTTTCTTATTCCATAAATGGAGTGCTGCATTTAAAATTCGCCAAGCATTCGCATTTTCTACAAAGAACAGGGCTGAATACAGACCTTCGGGTATCAAAACGAATATCGTGTCGCATATTTGCTCGAAGACAGACTCTTCCATCGATTCATCTGCGTCGTTCTCGTGGCTGTCGGTGATCGTGGATTTAGATTGCATCGCGCATTTTCAGCCCCGAGGGAATTCCTGTCATTTTGTCCACGACACGCGAGTGGAACGGAAAAAACAAAACGTCGCCACCTTTGTGGGCAACTTCACGAAAAAAGCAGTCACGATCGTTATCCCCGGGCCTCCATCGCGTTCACCATTGATCGAAAATTCATCATCTCCATGTCTACGAATAACATTCGCATGAAATCGTTCGTAAAATCCCGATCACGAAAATTCATTATGAATTTACAACGAATTTATTTACGTCGCACGCCTCGTCCGAACATACCGAATAACGAACCTTTTATTTACCGTCCGATTGCGTATATCGATTGTCATATCGTTCGTTAATTTTGTTTCTCTTACAACTTTTTTAGATTAACGTATTATTCGCGTATTTGCAAACGAATTGTTATCAATCTTTTATGTCGCATGTTTTTTAGGTTAGGATGGAATTTTAAAGATGCAGAAGTTCTTCCACTGTAAATATACTTGATAATGGAAAACCGTGAAGAATCGAGAGTAAGATTATATTATTAAAGTGAATTTTATAGGTTATGCGAAATTTAACCGATTGAATGTAGCGTTGAGTGTAAACGAACCTTCAAATCACAGACACGAACCTTCAGGGTTCGTGTCTATTCTAAACACAATTGTCGCAATAACTTGACTACGTTCTATCGAAAAATTAATTAATTCCGTATTCGAAAAGAACTTCATTAAGCAAATTGAAAAATGTTAAAAAGAATATTTACTCCCAAAAAAGGATTTTTCATGTTCCAAAGGGAAATTGTTTAATCGAAAGAACGATTGTTTTGATTCACGTCCGTGTGACGCCTTGAGGTTTGAAAGGTTCCAAAATGGAGGAGGAGGAGTACATGAGCACCGAGTTGCAGAGAATTCTCGAGGAATTCACGAGAATTAAAGACGTGCGGCAAATTTGTTAATTATATTTTAATTATAAATATCTTCATTTTCTTTCTCTATTTTTCTCTACTCAAATCTTTGTAATCTTTCAAAAATCGATAGGCGTATCTGGCGTTGAAAGTTTACAGCGAAACACAGGAGGAGGCATTGTCGATTGAGAAACATCGTTCTGAGAAATTGAGGGAGAATTTGGAGAAACTTTCCAACACTTTCTTCCTCCTCGAGAAAAGGTACAAATCCAACGTGGAGAAATTGCAGGCTGAGAATGGAAATTTTCGAAAAATGATCGAAGAATTGGGAGAGCAGTGCGAGCATCTGCGTCTCGTCAACGCTGATCGCAATGGATCGGAATAAATAAATCGATCGATTTTCATTACGATTTTGATCGATCGTTTTGCATTGCAATTTTAATCGATTAGAATGCACGCGATAATTCAGTATTGTTATCATACATATCTAGAGGAAATTACCGAGCAGCTTATCATCCATCGTTACGAGATATTAGTTGAGAGTTATCGGTTCTGTTATCACATAAGCTGTTACACAGATTTGTCATTTATTAGAATTGCTTTCTTATCGATCAATCAGTTTAAAGTTCAGTGTTTGCGATCCTCCATATGCGATTCGCGTGATTGCCCATGTAAAATTTCCGGCTTATTTACACATACTCTGGATGTTTATGCAATTAAGTATTTTTATACAAGATTGAAAGTTGGATTGAATTTGTTTATTTTCATATAATTTTTTCGTTTCTTCGATACTTCAGTTTTGTTAATTACATTTTCTTTTTGTGTCGTTTAATTGTGTCGAATTGATTAACGTAGTATTTACTCGATAATGTATATTTGCGTATGTTCTCACTCTTAGTATACTTTATTTGTTTTTTAATATTTGAGAATTCGGTAAATAATATCGAATATTACAAAATAAATATGGTAGACATATACTAGTACGTACCTTTGATATTGATAGTTTATACCTCTTTGTAAATATATTTTCTATTAGTCAATTAATATAAAATTTCGTATACTATATTTTATATATTATTATTATATAATAAGTAATTGAAATTATATTATTATATAATTTTATATATATTAATTTATATAATAAGTAATATATATATATATATATATATATATATA